TTCCGTGGGAGTAGGTCTAGTGAAAGGAAGTGTTTCTGCTGTAGCTGGAGGCGTTACAGCTGTAGGATCTGCTGTTGCAAGTAAAGTGCCTTTAACAGGAAAGAAAAAGGACAAGTCCGACTAAAACCAAAACTGAGACATACTCAATTCTCCAGAATATTGCATCAGTGGCATTAAAATCTGCTAAGATTGGGACCATGAGAAGCCATGTGTCTTAGACACTGTATCTTCTAACGAGTTGTCCAAGTAACTCGATTTCATCTGAAAAGGACAGAAGAAGCTTGGCTAGCACAGCGTATGAGGATTTATTAGAGCCTAGATTGAAGCTTTGTATCTGGTGAAATGTTACACTTGATAACTATAGAAGTGAGTGTATCTGAAGGAATAATACGTATTTGAATAGTTATTTACTGTATGTCTTCTGCAGTTTTGGACTAAAATGTGAATGTAGAAACTCAGTAGTCTCTGTGATGCCATCGATACGAGATGCCAATTACTGTTCTCAGTGGTTTCCACATCCTCCTGCTAAGGATCCTTCAGCTGTGTAAAAGCACTGTTGGACATACCCAGTCTTGGTTATGAACCTGTATTTGCAGGCAGCCTGTAAACTATCCCTGACTGCATTCTGCCAGTGAAGACTGGAGCAGAGACTGGAGGTGTGCAGGAATTGGAAATGAGAATGGGAGATAGAAGTGTAAAAGTTTAACAACATGGTAGAAAGGCTCAGAAAGAGTGAACTACCTTGACGCCTTACTGGAATAAAATCTCTTTTTACTAGGTGAAGCTGTGTAAAGAACTGTCCTGACATTTCAGTACAGTTCACATAATGAGCCTTAGGCTCTTTATAAATCCTTATATCTGAAACTTTGTCAGTTTTTACTGAAAACATGATTGCTTCATCTCAGGTGTATTTAATAATATGCATCTATCTCCTACAAGTGAGACCTTGCTTCTAATGAACTTCTTATAGACGCTAGAAAAAATGACAGCCTGTGGAAACTGGGCTCATATTTGTGGTCATCTAGCACAGCTGTCTAACTTGCTAGGAATTCTTGCGTAGCTGGAAACCACTGAAGAACTAGCAAAGCTGTTCTCTCAACTCTGTGACACACCAGGTTAGCTTTTTGCTCTGTTTAGGCAAATGCAAGGAAATTTTCACTACATTTCTTGTACTTTCCACTTTGATTTTTGAGTAAAATGCAATACTTGTATTTAAAACAAACCAAAAACAGTAGATGAGGCCTTAAAAAAAGAAACATGATTCAAGTAATTTGTATACTGACAGATTCCAAATGTTGACACCTCAGACGGGAATACCCGTACATCCTCTGCAGCATGTGAGGCAAAATGCACTTGTAATGGCACAACGCAAGGTTGCCTTAAAATAGAAACCATTTGTGATCTTTTATTTGTGTACTGATTTTGCAAGTATGTCACCTCTTTAGAAGCCCATGGAAGGCATCTGTTCATGTTGTGTATGCAGTATTTTCTAAAACCTTGTGTTTCTATGGAGAACTTGTACGCTTACTTTTTTCAGTGGCTGTGGTTGTACTAGAAGGTTATATGAGGGGGACTTCTTATAAATGAAAAAAACCTGAAACATATCACTTGTCAAACTTAATCCTCTGTTCATGGGTGTTGAAAGTACACCATGTCTCAATTATGGTACTGTAGTCACCCAATCTCCTGAGCCATTGGTACTTCAACAGCAAAAACCCAAGAAATGGTGCCTGCTCCTTCTGTTAGATGCACCAGCTGCTTGGTTCTGATCTGCTGCAAGGGTGTAATGAGGTAAGTTGATGCAACAAATAGAAGACTTTTAACTATTTTTTTTATAGTCAAAAGCAAATTGCATAGAATATAGTATTGTTAGAGGTACCAGTTAGCTCTAGATGTGAGCTACCCTGCATATCAGAGGCAATTTTGCTGCAGGATATAATATAGTATAGTCTGCTCCCGTGCAATTTCCGGTGTAGCAATATTCCCCAAGTGCTGCCACTGAACTCTTTTAAAAAGAGTCACCTGTTTGGAGCACAGCGATCATTTGTGACAGTCAGCCAAACTCTCCCTATTAGTTTTTCTGTAAATGCTGAACTGGTCATATCCATGTTTTTTACTAAATTATTTTATGTTAAACTTTGAAACTTGGAGAAAAACAAGTGTGGTCTGAGATAAGCAATGTTAGGTATGTAAAGAGTTGCCAACACTTCATTATGTTTTGTTCTTAACATATCCTGTAGCTATTATTTTGAGTCTTGTAACTGAACATGGCATATGGTTTTAGTTTTCAAAGAGCTTAGCTTTGTCCTATATCCTGTGTGTTTTCCATTCACTTATGAAACTTGCTTCATCTTAAAAATTTGTTCCAGTTCTGTCCTGGCACCTGTGAAACATTAAATTGTTGCTGTTTCAGACATTTGAAAGCTTCCTTAGTTTATAAACCTAAGTTTGTACCTTAGGTATAAATCTGCCCACACTACCACACTCCAGAGTGTCTTTCATTTGTGTCTACTTAGTACCAACCAGCTCTTAACAAAAGCTGTAACTTCAGTGTATAAGCTGTGCACAGACACAGCACAAAATGTTTTGCACTAATTTTCTTTTCCCCTGGTCAGTGATGCTTGGGAATACCCAGTTTTAAGGTCATAGTGTGCTGAATGCAATATGGAACTGAAATTTTCTGGGGGAGTGAGGTTGTTCTTCTGCCTTGGGATTGTTTTTGTGGTAGCTTTATTTCACTTTCCTTTTCCCAGTCCCTGTTTCAAAAGGGGAAATGTTTATGAAGGCAGCTGGGATGCCTGACTGCTCTCCAGGTAGTGAAAGGCTTACGTACAGGCTGGTCCACAGTCACTGTGACTAACAAAAGATGAGTACTTCAGCAATACAGTGTTTTGGTGACTGGGAACTTTCCTGAGCTTTTATTGTAAATGAATCCTGTGAAGAAGAGAGAAACAGTTCCCAGGATAGAGTTATGAATGAAGGATTGACTGACTTCATCTGGTAGTAGAGAATAAGTGCATTTCTGCTCATGCTTTTATTTTGAAAGGGGAAGAGAAATTGAAACATTCAGAATGCAAAATGAGTTTCTGATAACTCAGGCTGAGTTAGTTAAGGAAATAAATCCTTTTCCTGTTCTGTTGCCACTGAAAATAATTTAAGTGATGGGAATAAGCTGTTTGAAGAACTTTATAGAAACAGACACCTGTAGAAATGATAGAACTAAATATTCTGGGAAAATACTGTTCTTATTTTCCTTTCCTCCTAAGCTACCAATCAAGTCTCTGGCTCAGTTACAGGTTGTGTTAGTAAGAACTTTGGAGAGCTGACATGCTCCTTTGTGTCTGAGGGGAAGGAGGCTTTTGAATTCAGATTAATATTGTGGTCTGCTTAATAGCTGAGCAGAGGAGGACAGTCAGAAAGTGACAAAGGCAAGTTCCTGTGAATTTTTAATATGGCTGTCTTCCCAGTTTCCTCTTAAAAAATAATAACGTGTTTTGAAAGATTCAGCATAGACACAGCCTGGTACCACAGCCTGATTTTTTTCATGATGGTGATACATCCTCTTCTTGAATTCCTGCCACTGTCACACGTGCTCCTGTTAAGAGTGGTATTTACCCCCAGAAACGCCTGTCACGTCTGCACTTGCCTGCAGAGTGCTCAGTGTAAGACCTTCAGCTGCTGAGATCTTGAGACTGCTCCTATCAGGTGTTCCCAGCCCTTTCCCAGCGCACAGCAGATAACGTGGCAGTCTTTATAAAATAATCATTCTTGCAGCCCACCCTCTGGACCAGTAATTCAATACCAGCTTTCTTCAGCAATTACAAACCACATTTTAAGAAATGGAGGCCTGGACTTGCTGCCAAAATGTGTGTTGAAGAATGCCTGGAGTGAGGGTGGTGTGTAGCTGGTTTTTATTCTGTTGTCAAGAGGGAATATGTGTGGAATAGCTACTTTAAAAAGTCTGAGAAGTAAAGTCACTGATGATCCTAATTCTGTTGAAATGATTGTCAGTGATGCTGCTATTTTATATTATCATTCAGTCCATAAATGAGAAGAAATCAAATCCGTTGAGAACTTAAACACTGTCTGATAGTTACTATTTTGAAAGCCAGCACTTGTCCGCCAGTTGTCATATGGTGTTATCTGAGAAGCAGTGTCACCTATATATTTAGAAACTGTTGCAGCTGTTTGCAAATCTGGTACTCATGTTTAATCACCAGTGGTTTACAGACTAGTTTTGTTGCACCTAACAGAAAAGAATGACATTCTCTTTTCTCCTACAATCATTTGAGACTTGAGTCTCCCTTATCTTTCCTGTCCCCAAACCTTGCTAGAAGAGATTAAGGATTATACAGTAGCAATAAATATATTTCCTCCTGTTCCAGACCTTTTGAGAAATAAGTAAATTTTGAAATCTCAGAAATGTAAAGGTTGTTATCTTGTAGCTTCTTTGCATTATGGTTTGTACACAAACATACTAGAGTCTCACTGTAGCAGTCAATGAATAGAAAATCATCATGTCCCACCCCTGTGCTTAGGACAGGGCTTTCCTGTCCAAGAAATCAAGTCTTGCTGCAGGTCAGGATCCAGGAGCTAAAGCTACTTCAGCAATAAGGAAAAGAACTCCAAGAGCTTTTCCTGAAAACAGTGAACCAGCAGATTGATGAACACTGCTGGAAAAATAATAATCCTCCTTTTGTCTTCCTCAGATAAAAATTGTGCTAATCAGTACCACGGGCTGTGGTGTTGTGCAGTGACAGAGCTGAAAATCTATGGCAGTTAATGCCCCATCAGGTAAGAAAATGTCACATCTGAGGTACTCTTAGGAAAAGGCAACCTTTATCATAACTGTAACTTCTATGATACTATTTGAAAGCATTAGAATACTATAATTGTACACTGAAGTTGTGCCTAAGACCCCCTCCTGGACAAAGTACACTGTAAGACTACAGTCTTGATTAAGATTGCTTTTCTTCCATCTCTTCTTGAAGAACCAACTTCCCTTTTAATTTGCTTTTGCATAACTTGAAGTACAGCATTCAAATTAATCTTCAATGTGTAGAGGAGCAACAGGATTAAAAATTGGTCTCTCCTTCTTTGATTGTATCTTACCATAAGTGACTTCAAAATCTTTTTTAGTGCCATTCAAACTTTCAAGATTTCCACTCTTTATATCATATCCTAATGCAGAGAGCTTTTTAATTCGGTACTGAACAATTTGTGTTGTCAACTCCAGCACCATTGGTGTCTCTCTAATCTGTGCTATAGAAATTCCTTCCTTCAGTAGTCCTTCAAGTCTTTCTTCCAAAACTGGAACAGAATAGTAGAGAAGGGCTGGGCATTTCAGCACTAATTGTTTTAGTTCTTGATCACTGCACTTGAAGGTGTTTTTGGAGAAAAGCATACTCTTCTGCATAGTGGTAGAATTAAGTTGAAAAATGAAGCCTTTAAGTTTGGATAGCAGCTGTAGAACTTCCTGGTCAGTGAAATCATTCTTTTGGAGAAATTCCAAGTTCTCCTGGATTGCGGTGGAAGTATTTAATAAAATAAATGGATTTTGGCTCAATAGCTTCAGTATCCAGATCTTCATATTTGCTTCAGAACCCCCTAAATTTAAATAATTTCTTTGTAATGTCTCTATCACAGTTTTGTTTTTCTCAACAGGATTATAGAATATATTGGGTGCACTTGTCAAGAACCTGGTGATTATATTATTCTTAAGTCCCAGCTCTTGAAAAAATAGTATGTTTGCCTTCTGGTTCTGCTGATACTCAGTAGTAAAAAAAGACTCTGGAAATTGCTCTATTAATTTAATCAGCTGTTTTTCATTCTGGCATACTAACTGCCATAAAGCTCTTTGAGAGTTTATCTCTGCTGGGGTGTGAAGAATTGCCTCCGGGCAGCGTTCTATAATGTTGGCTACAGTGGTCTCATCTGCTCCCATTTCCTGTAAGATACCAGCGATTTCTTTAACATAGGCCACATCCTGGAGAAGGACCCATTCCTTCAGTCTGCGTATCTTCGATATGTCAACTGACAAACTGTAGAGATTCTCAAGGGTTTTTTTATTTTCTTCTTTTGACTTGGTATCAGTTGTGTAACTGGAATGTATTAGGAAGCTTTTGTTTGTTATGTCAGGCCATACTGAAGAAAGCTTTGGTCCTGGGTTATGGCTCTGAGATCTTGTCAACAGAAGAGTGAACGTGTCTTTTGCACCATGAGCGACTCCTCTCAACATCATGGAAGTCAGTCCTGTGGAGACACAACAACTTTAAGAAAACACATTTAAGGAATGAGTTAATGGTCAAGATCATCGATGTTTAGAAAGAACTGGCATAAGAAATTACTCTCCAGAGTGGTTTTAGTTACTAGTGAAAAATCCAGCTTTCACATGAAAGCAGGGGGAAAGACTATTTTTGAAAGGTTAGTGTTCTGATGGATACATTACTGGAAGAGTTATATGGATGCAACAGACTTGATGTGGGGCAGTGCTCTGTCCATATCAATGCCTGCAGTCATACAAACTCCAAACTGCCAGCCATTTCCTGCAGCTAATGTTACTGCATTTCAGATCACTCACACTGTATGAGGAAAATGATTCATGCAACTTCATTTGACAGCAATCCCACTAAATTAACAAAAAATGGCAGCTTAAATCTCTTTCTTAGTTCTTATGAATGTATTTGCTTTAACTTCTCAAGCATTATTTGGAGTGTGAGTTGTTCTTTCATGTGTCAAGAGACCCACCACGCAGTGCTGCATCAGCAGCAGTTTGTAGCATAATTTCATTTTTAAATCATTCATTATATAATTAAGGGGAAAAAAAAGTCACATGAACCTTTATGTAAGTGTTTTTCACCAGCCGAGTTTGTTAACTGAGTTTGAATAAGCACCGTGGTATTTTGGGGGAGGAAGCAAGTACACAGTAACATTTGTAGGCCTTCACCTACCTCTTCCAGCACCTAGTTTGCTACAGCTGCTCCCTGCACCAATGCCCTATTTCTGCCTCCAGGTCTCTTCCGTAGGCAGAGTCCTTGTGGAATAGGTGTGTGGCTGTGCTGGAGTCCACAGGGCCAACCCCACACCTCACCTTTGCCCAAACTCACTGCCCAGCTATCACCAATAGCACATGCACTGTCACTTGCTCTGCAGGGGCAAAGGAGCTGCAGCAATCAAAGAAAGATATCATCAAGTGTATCTTTAACTTCCTGGGGGGTGTTTTCATAACGACCCTCTGGAAGTACTGACTGAGAGGGAGAACTGCTGATCTCTGCAATACTCCTGCAAATAGCTGCTGCTGGTAACATGCTTAAAACTGCTCAAACTGAAAGTGAGAACATTTGGACAGTTGCTTTCACCTCTCCCTAAGTATAGCATGCTTCAAAAAATACCTACCTGAGCACTGCTAAATTACTTTCAGTTGTTTGTGGTTTTTTTTTTGTTTGTTTGGTGTTGGTTTTGGGGTTTTTTTGGGTGGTTTTTTTTTTGGGTTTTTTTTTTATGAGAGAAAATACTGTTATGACCACGCAGTCTAATCTCCTGTCCAACTGACCTCAATACCTGTCACAGAGCTGCACAAGAGCCCTAGAATTTTCCTTAGAGCCCATCTTCTAAGAAAATAATGTGGTTTGTTTAGAGAACTTTAGTGGTAGGTCCTCTTTCTAGTTGCCAGGTATAGTTAAATATTTTATAGATGTAAATCCTTCATCTCAAGAAAGTGTACCTTTGCTTTTTTTCTGCTTCTGAGGTGGACTACTGTTATGTTACTACATCATAAACTAACAGAATATGACATAATTTCCTATATGCACACTTATGTTATTAACAGAAGCTGTTTATTGATAACTTGTCCTCTAGTATTATTTCACACCTCTAAGGCAAAACCAATTGCCTAATGTGCTGGTTGTGTCAGAAAAACCATGGCTGATGGTTTTGTCTTCCTATACCTTGTGACTTAAGAAATGCTGTCCCAAGCAGCACAACAGAACAAGTGATTTTTCCCAGTAACCCTGGAAGTACTGGAAGTGTAGGTAAGTCACAGATGTTTTGTGTGCTGACCTTTCCATGTCCTGAAAAATGGGCTGCAAACTAAATCTCTCCTCCACAGGACTGACACAACTGCCTGTGTCTGAGCACTCTGAGTAGTTCTACTGAGTTTAGTGGGTCCAGTCAGAATAACCAAATCTCTGAAGGATCAGGGTTTTCTTCTTTAATGCTTCAACTTAGCTAGAAGTGGCCAGCAAAGTGAAGTGTTGTTAAAATTGTTTGGGATGTCAAATAATATTTCCAAAGTACAAACTGGAAAAATAACTATGACTAACTTTAATGCATAATCCTGCTGTTAAACAAAATTCCTTTGAGAGTAATGCAGTCCCTTAAAATACTGTAATTTTTACTATTATAGAACCTTTTAAAAATTCTGATATAGTAAATTGTGCTTTTCTAAAATCTGACATAGAAATGGTTGTTACATTCATTTAAAATAAGCTTTACATTTTCTAAAAATGTCTGGCATCATAGTCAATTTGTCCCTTTTGTTTGTGAGGATCATCAGAACCACAGAATACTGTAAAAGAAAGAAAAATTTTATTTGCCAAAACTCATTTGACTGGGGTACTCAGGAGCCCTTGTAAAAAAGCCCAATGCAAACTACAACATGCAAAATAACATGAATGGATTTGAATGTCTTGGTGTTCTGTAGAAACCAAGAAGATCTGAGTATTGATTTGATGTATTTCCAAGTCCATAGATGACATTATCACATTTCCAGGGTATGTAACTGCTTTCAAGAATTCAGAGTTCTCTTTAAGCTCTTGTTGGATCTAATGCATGTTCTAATGCGTAGGACTCCACTGTAACTTTTTACATACTTAGATTGCTGTGGGGATTGCAAAGCAATTGAGAGATTAAGAAGAAAAACTGAGCCAGCTCAGATAAGATGCTTGCTGTCACTGCCAGCAGCACCCTCTCACCACCAAGTGTTAGAACAGCAATAAGGAAGTGAGCTAATGTTGAAGTTGCCTGTGTTCCTGCTTGCTAAGCACACTTGCAGAGACATGCATATACGAAGTAAAGGGGTGCTGTAAATTTCATTATTTAATGAGACCTCTATGTAAATCTTCTATAGGAAATAGAAACAAGGATTAACTGGTTGATTTATCACACATGTGAATCTCTGTGTGTTTTGAGACTCAAATATCACTTTTTTAAAATTAGCAAACCCAAACTTTTACTCATGCTAGATTGTTCACAAAATCCTTCAGTAAAGATGGCAACAGTATGGCTGCTGACCACTACCATTCTCATTATAGGAAACTTAGCAGGCTGTAAACTCCTGAATGCCTAGACTGAACTTTGAACCAAGAAGAGTAGGTATCTACGTAGAAGATAGCAGTGTAGACAGGGTTTGAATGGTTTGTGAAGGAATCTGGGCTGGTCAGAGGTTGCAGTTTTGTAGATTAATGCACAGTAAATGTTTGCACTTCTGCACTTACAAAATAATTAATCCCTGCTTTGCATTAGTGGTGGAAATGAAGTAAATGATTATAAAATACATGCCAGACCAACAGAAAGCTTTCTAGAAAATAATATAGAGGATCCTAGGTTTGAAGGGACCCCAAGAGCTCAAAGCAGGGTCTGCAGGATCCAGGCTGCTTTGTCCAGTCAGGTCTTTAAAACCTTCATGGATGGAGCCCAGCTGGCCTCTGTGGGTTACCTGTTCTACTGCTCAACTATCCTCATGGGGAAAAAAGCTTTTTCTTACATCCAGGAAAGGAGAGAGATTTGAAAAGTGCTTAAGGACGCACTGCACTATTTAAACCACTGGTTATTAAGTGGCGGTGCTTTCAGCACAGACAAAACAAGGGTCTCCATCACAGCCTTCTCCCACAGCTCGGCCCTTTCCCACCCTTTGTACTCCGCTTGGGGGCGGAGAGGCAGGACGCGGCTGTTCTGCTGCAGCCAGCCCGGGAGCCGCAGGCCCATCCCGCCCCGAGTGCCGCTCCTGCCGCAGTCACCGGCGGCCGGGCCCCGCACCCGGGGGTCCCCCCGCTGCCGCGCATCCCTCGGAGCCGCCCTCGCCATCCTCAGCGCCGCGCCGGCCCCTCTGCCCCCGCGCCCCGGTGCCGGCCCCGCCGGAGAGCGGCCGAGCCCCGGCCCGCCGCCCCCGGCCGCGCTCACCGGCCTCGCCGCCGCCGCCGGGCCGCTCCACCGCCGCCGCGCGGGGGGAGCTGGCACGTACCATGTGCCGGGAACGGGGGGGGCGCGGCTCAGCCGCAGGGACGTGGCCGACCCGCCGCGGGAGCCGGCCCGGGCTCGCCCGGTGCGGAACTGCCCGGGCCAGCGCTTGCGAAGCAGGCCTGGCCGGCACTCGGAAAAGTGAAAGGCCGGTGGATTAAAACAGCTTGCAGAGAGAAGTAGCGGGCTAAGTAGAAAAAAAAAAAACATTTGATAAACATTTCTGAGTAATACAATAGCAATGAACGGAGCGTTTAAAAGTCAGACTACTTGAGTGCCTGTGCTCTGACGGGAAGCAGATGTTCCTTTGGATTCAGTAACACCGACATCGTGATGGGAGGCTTGCCTTACACCAGTGTATTTTCTTCATATATCACTGCCTTATTACACAATTACATATAGTCATTTGGCTTATATTGCTTTGTTGGTGGCTTTTCAGAAGTTCATTGAGCTGTGATGGTGAGAGCTATCTTCCTCTGTCTTAATTTTTTTAGCCATATCTACTTATATTTCTTATCTAGAGTAACAAATCAGCAGTCACATAAATGATTTCTAGACTAGAAATATTTTACTAGAGGTGTTTGGATTTTTTAACTAACTCCAAGTCTGCACAATCACATCTTTCAGAGAGTGAAAACCACTGCTGTCGTCTATGTGAACCTTTCTTTTGTAATCTACATGTTCAGTAGTCTGTACTGGATCTGTAAAAAAGAGCTAATGAAGAAAAGAAGTGCCATAGAAAGAAACTCTGCTCTAGGAGCAGGGTTCAAGCTTGGTCTCCTGAATAACAGCTGTTCCAAGAGCAGTTAACAAAGTCTGTGAGTATAATGCAAACAATGATGTCAAAAATATGCATCTAAAAAATAGCTTCTAATTTGTAAGAGAAAATGTACCATATACTTCCTTCTTTGTTTTTTTCATTTCATGCCTTTGTGTTATCTTTTTTCCCTTCTGTCTTCTCCCCACTCTCTTCATTTTTGCATTCGCAGTCTGGGATAGATTTGCAATATTGTTTAAAAAAAGTTATTCACAAGAGAACTGTAGAGAGGTTAACTTGTATGAGTTCTTTGATTAACTGTCATTCTATTTTCTATTTCAGCTAAGTTGGAGTGGCTCTTCCCTTGAGATCTGACATTTTAATTAATATAGTCTGCATCTATTATATATTAATATATCCTAATACAATATTAATTATACATTAATATGTTCTTTCTCTCACTTCTGAGTCAAGAACAAACTGTCTCGCATAGAAGGCATGGCCAGATAGAGACAAATAGTGTTTTGACATAATGATATGCTAATGATATGCTGTAATTGTTATTTAGCCTGTAGCAACAAAACAGCCTAGACACTGATGCTTTTCATGGCTG